TTTATTTTGAGTAGAAATGTCAGAGGAGGTTGTATTGCGATTTAATGGGAATGACTACATTGAGTATGTCATCAAGGAGCGATTCAAGAGAGACTACCTGCTGAAAGACTTGCTGGATGATGAAAAAAAGGGAAACACCAGAGACCAAACAGTGAACATCAAGTTCAAGACCCAAGATAATGGAGTGTTGATGTCTGTTGTTGGACAGACGGGATATGTTATGTTGAAGGTATGCCTTAAATGCTTTAATCCAGGTATTTGCCCATCTTGTATTTATGTTTGGGGTGTACATTTTTTGTTTTTTCTGTCTAATTTAGATAATAGACAGAAGGCCTGTGTACATTTCCAAAGATCCACTGTCAGGACACCTGTCTGAGTTCACTGTGGACTCTCCTGTGGCTGACGGGGTCTGGCATGTCCTCTCCTTGGTCAGCAATGGACAGAACACTTTTCTGCTTCTGGATGGTAAACCAGGCTTGAACATCACTGACCGAAGTATAGATTTCACACCTGTTAGTGTGGAAAAGATTATATTTGGTGCAGCGCTGACAGGTAATTCAAAGCTCCAACAGTCAGATAACTATACAGTAATCATTGTTGACAAATTAAATAACTTTTGCAAAAATACACAACATGTATAATAATAAAAAGAAATATGTTAATATAGTCAACATAAGCGGCAAAACATTTCAGGTCATTCAACTTCCTTGTTCTTTGTTTTGCCTACTGCTGTAACCTCTCACCTTCCTAATCTTCAGTTGATGAGAGTCTTGCATACATAGCAACATATTCCTTTATTTCACATCATACAGGAGTTTTCATCAGGTTAGGCTGCCTCTTTGGTCCTGTTTATACTTTGCATTAAACTGCGTCTTGGGTGATCCAATCACAAGCTGACAGCTCCAAGTACCTCAGTTTACACTGGGTATTAGAATACATCTCTACATGCATCTAGAGTGACCACTCATGATCAGATCTCACTCCCTGTATATGCGAAAAAACATGTACATCTATTCTTGTTTGCTCAAAAGATCAAATGAGCAGCTGTTTTTAACTGGCGGCCAAACAGTAGTAGTCAACATGCTTGGACAAGAAAGAAATAACTTCATGTATAATGTTTGCCAAATTTACAAGAAGGCCCAAATAATGAAGAATTTGTTCTAAACTCTGTTTATAAAGTTTCTCCTTATTCAATAACTCTCGAAATTATGCACATTTTTTAGGCAGTATGGGGATATTGTGATTCATCAGTTGAAATAGTGGGTTCAAACATCTGCTGCTTATCTTGGCAAGCAAGATCTGATCACAATGCCTATTGGTGGTGGGTTACACTTGTATTTAGAGCTGTTCACTTGTGATCCAATCACCCAAGATGCATGTTAATACCAGGTGTAAGCAGGCTCTTTGCTTGGTTTGGGAATAGAGCATATGCAATTGTGCTATAGTCAGTCCTGTCCCTTTACATCTATAATGAGTCATTAGCAAAATTACTTAAATGAGGAGCAACATGTTTCCCTCACTGTTTACGTATCACTCTAAGTACAACCTGTATGTGTAAACTTACATTAAATGGTCAGCTGCATACTTTGAGTAACACTGATGAAACTGTCTTAATTCTTCCTATGACAGGGTTCACTGGATGTGTGCAGTATTTCAATGTGACCAGCTACACTCTGCCTGTCAGTGGACACAGTATGATGGTGGATGTCTGGCCGAGCCCGAGTCTTGTCCAGTCGAGCTGCAGCTCTCCGGGCGTCTGCCTCTCCTCCCCATGCTCTGAGGAGGACACAACCAGGAGGGGTTGTCTTTCTGCACACTGTCAAAACCAGTGGAGGTGTAGACCTGCTGTGCAGAACAGCTCCTGCATCTGTTTACATAATGTCTCTGACCACGCATGTGATATATGCATCTCTACAACAGAGAGCCATGACCAATGCTCTGAGGCGCAGGGCAGCATGCCTCTTTGGCTTATAGCTGTGGTTCTTCCTCTGATCTCCATCCTGGTAATCATAGGAATGTTTGTTGCCCTTTACAGAGTGAGGCGACAGAATGCAAAGTGTCAGAGTGACAGCTCGCCACAGAAAACCGAACAAGGAACAGATAATGTAGCGTTTTGTTTTGATACCAACAGAACGCTCACAGGTATTGCATCTACAGAGGAAGAGAAACAACATGACTCAATGGGTGCTGACCTGCAAAGGAAAAGTGAGTTTTACTGTGATGCTAGTCTGTCAAGTGTTCAGCCAAACAATGAGCTGGAGTATTATGAAATCGGCAGCATCTCTAGTGCATTTCATTCAGACACTGCCTCACTGAAGCTCAGCTGGCACAAGCATTTATACAGCACAAAGTGTTTGAAAGCCGAACCTAAACGGTGGGGAGATTTAAGGATGCTGTTAGCAGGGTTTAAAAAGGACCCCTCCAGTGAAGAGAAGGTAAAAAGTCCTACAAAGCCTCAAAATGTGGCTTCTCTAAACAAGCAGTTGTTGACTAAGATTGATGCAGAGCAGTCCAAACATACATCGCCTTGTTACAAAAAGAGATTCCTACAACCAGAGTTCATGGAACCTGTACAATGCCTCACGTTCGAAGAAATTAGTAAACTTAACACTCCTCTGGAGCAAACAATGTCACATCGAGCATCCCCGAGGTCCGGAAACGCCAAGTGCACCACAATGATCGATGTCTCATCTGACAGTGAAACAGACAGCACATTCACCGGCACAGAGTCTGAGTGCAGACAGTTTTCTGTCACCAGTGCCAGGAAATATATATATGAGCAGTCATCCCTGTCAGGATGCAGCTATAAACAACAAGGCATCTTGCCTGTCAGCTCATTCTTAAAACACACTTCTCAGTCTGCTGCAGGTCTGAATAAAGCTGAAGGTGTTCCGTCCAGTATGTTTGAGCAATGGGAAAATATTTTAAACATGCACCTACCTTTTAGCAGCTATGCTCCTGTATTTGAGGATATTGCATGTCTACCCAGTGAACCCAGTCATAGCTATGATGTGCAAAGTGACATAGAGGAAATTATTTGATGTTATATATTATTTGATGTTATATAGTAGATAGTTATGCATTCTGTTACTTTATTGAAATTATTTTGATATATGAAACCATCTTTGGTGACCGAAATCAGACTTGGAAAAAATCTGATTTCATGTGATATGTGCTGTTCACACTATCATTAAAACAGTAACAGATGGAGAGTGAAATGAAAGGGGGGAGGAGAGCGGGGATGACACACAGCAAAGGGCCACAGGTTGATGGTAAACCCATGGCGGCTGCAGCAATGATTCCCCATTCGTTTCGTCTTGTCTGTTTCTTCAGTGCATTATTTCATATATGAATATTCAGGATGCTGTAGATCAGTTTTTTGTACATTATATAATGGAAATTAAAGAACATGATTTTTACCAATGACCAACAGAGTGGCTGCAATCCTGGTGTCAAAACTGTGTTTAATGTGTCCATGTGGAGTGTGAATGGAGAATTACATGTGGCCTTTTAAACCCTGTGTGGTTCTTATATACAGTGCTGGCTGTGGATGATATTGAGTTTACTATGATAAAACATTATGCTGTACTTGTTGTGAGAAAGAGAGAACACAAACTAATAGGTTATTGACTCACTCAGTGAAATTACTGAATTTAATAGTCTGAAATTCAGAATATAAAAGTGTACCTTTGAGCTCTTCAGTGCTCCAAAATCCAAGAAATATTATGATGAAGGGCATCAGGTAGGCTATTAAAAGTCAATGTATTCTAAAACCAAAGACAAGGCAAATGACGTGAAATTTACTTTATGTTTAATTTACTTGCTGATGCTAATGTTGGTCAAGGGGTGAAACTGTGGTCTGATTTCCATCCAACTATCTCAGATGCATGATTTACAAATGAAAGATTGGAGTTGAGTGGACCACAGTGTTTTTTCGGCTTTTATGCCTTTATTTGATAGGACAGCTGGAGACAGACAGGAAAGTGGGGTAGAGGGAAGATATAACACGCAGCACAGGGCTGCAGGTCGGATTCAAACCATGGGCCGTTGCAGCAAGGACTCAGCCTTGGTACATGGGTCGCCAGCTCTACCCACTGAGCTAACCGGGTGCCCAGTTCACTTCATTTTAACATTCCATAATGGTTTGGCTCTATCTAGTGGACAAATTAAAGTTTGCATTCATAAGCCCTCTGTTGAACTGTATAGACTGTGAGACAATTACAGAAGTGGAATGCAGAGTTAAGAGGTTTAACAAGCACTCTCAAAAATTAACATAATTAGTAATTGTTGTTTTTAATATGGATAAATACAAGACCTTAGCAAATAGATACATGGCAGTGTCCAGGATTCAGCCTGCAGATTCATTTCTTAGCTATAATATATACAATATATATAATATAAAATACATAATATTCTGGAAATCTCCCAGTGCATACTTGCAAACACAAGGAAAGATAGTTCATGAAGTTATAGTAGTGTGTAATTGTAATAATGTATAAACAGTTATTGTCAGTGTTTTTGCATTTAAGTTTGCAGACATCACAGTTTTAAATTTCAAGAATTATAGCCAGATAAAAGATGGATTTATTTTAGAAAAAATCTACTTAGCATTCATTCTGTCAGTTTTACTTTGCTAAACAAATAATAATGGACAAATATAGACTTAAAAACATATTTTGAGTTAGTACTAAATGAATATAATTTAATTAAGAAAACTATAATAGCATAAACATGAATTTCATTAAAAATTAATAATTGAATAACATTTTGATCTACAGTATGTTCCACAGGTCGAGGGGGAAAGTCAGTTTTTGCAAAAATTCTTGCAGTACTTAACACTCCCAAAATATATGTCTGTGGTTGGCACCCAAACACTCAGCAAACTTGTGTTAATAAAGTTTTAATAATAATAATAATTACAAATTTGAGTTATCATTTAACATGGCACCTTCATAACAACCAACACATACTCTAGGCTGTGACTCATTTGGAGTCAAATATTACTTAATATTAGGTTTATGATCAATTTTAATTGCAATGCTTACTTTTCTGTTTCTAAATCTCTGTATCAAAGCCTTCTTAATCTCCTTAGTCTTGAAACAGTATATGATTGGATTAACTACAGCAGGTATGAGGCTGTACATCATGGTATTTACAATGCGGGCATCATTGCTCAAACTGAATCCCAAATTGTGAGCGAGATAAACAAAACATCTTGGCACATAATAAAGGCAGGTAATAAAAATCTGAGGAGCACAGGTGGACAGGACTTTGTGGCGCCTCTCAGAGTGAGACATTTTCACAACAGCTATGATAATAGAAAAATAAGAAAAAAATAATGAATGATAAAGGAACCAAAAGACTGATCAAGGCATTTACAAGTGCAACAGTTTTAACATACGCAACATTTTCACCACATCCCAGCTGAGTTATTGATATATGATCACAGTAGCACTGTGTGATGATATTTAGGTTGCAGTAGGGCAAAGTTAAGGCGTGAAGCACAAGCCCCAGCATACGTATAAAAGTAACAACCCAGCACACACTACAAGCAATAAAAACAGTTTTGTTTGTAATGGCAACAGGATATCGAAAAGGAAACCATATGGCAACAAAGCGATCCAAAGTCATAATCAGTAAAATTAAAGAATTAACAGCTCCCAAAGAATGAACAAAATACATTTGTGTAAAGCAGGCTCCAAATGAAGACGTCATGTCGTTCCACCAATATATAGCAATGATTTTTGGAAGAGTCACAATGCCGAATGAAATGTCTGTCATTGCAAGGTGAAAAAAGATCACGTATGTTGGTTTGTGAAGAGTCCTCTCATACAAAATAACAGCTAAAATGAAAGAATTGCCAACCACAATACCTAGGAAAATAAGCAGAAGAAGAGCAGACACTGGTCCATAATACTCAGGCGGAAGTCCAGGGAATCCAGTGATAATGAACTCTTTTATAGTTGTAATATTGGTGTATTTCATAATGATGCCTTTGATCACAAATACAAATAAAAGAAACAAACCTAGAAGTGAAATTAGAAAAGAGTGATGAAATTAATAGCACTCCAGTGTCAATACTGGAGTAGTAATATAAAAGAAACGATACAAACCTGTAGTATCTCAGAAGATGGTCTCGTTGTAACAGTTAAGTTAATGTCTGTGGCCTTTTATATTGTTTCAGCAGAGTGGGGTATAATGACGTGTTTGGAGATTTACACTCAGAGAAAAAGTTATGTTTAAAGGACCAGTTTCTTAATAATATATAAACTTCATTTGTTTTCTAAAGAAGATAAAATAAAATAAAAAACTAATAATAAAATATGAAAAAGTAAAACAAAATATAATAGAATTAAGACAGAGATAAAAGCTTTTTTTTAAATAATGTTTTAAGAAGAAATTTACATTCAGAAAGCCTAATCTCAGCAGGTAAATTATTTCAGAGGTTGGGGGCCTAGACTGCCCAAAAGCATGGACATAGGTATATCCTTAGAGGATATAAAGAGTCTAATTTTGCTACTGCCCTCCTTGTCTTAAGCTTTCCATGTATGCACATGACAGAGCAAGGACGTCCTACAACAGAGCCACATTGCCAAATATAACTTTCTGGATTTAAAAATAAAGTTTTCTTTTGATAAAAGTGGTCCTGAATGACATATTCATACCTTAATCTTGTGAGGCAGCTGGACTCGCAAGATCACAGAATCATGTGATCATACAAAAATCCATTATTCCAGGATTCAAGCTATGTGCTAATGCTAGCTAGGGCCATGCCATGGTTTAACGCTAGGTGTGTGTGACAAAAGAAGTGAAAGTTAACTCGAAAAACAAAAATGGCGGCTGCCAGAAAGGTTAGCTCAGATGCTGCTAGCCTTAACTATATCAGAACTGGAGAGTATTACTTCACAAAAAGAAAATAATTATTTCTGTCTTCTCCCAACTGGCTTCAATAAGCCCTGTTACTGTTATCTTCAGCTGTCCTATCAAAAAAAAGACCCAAAAATATATTTTTAAAGATAAGTTCACTTGTGACAGAAAAGGCGAGAAGGCAGTCGGGTCTTGCTGTACAAAAACACAACTTTTTAACTTTATTCATTGATTTTGGTGGAAATCACGACATTGTGCACTGACTCAGATGAATGTATTGTTTATTGGACCACAAATGAGACAAAAATTTGGTTGAAAAATCGGTAGACGGCCGAAGCATTGTGTTTTTGGGGGCCAGGCCTTACTGATTAACTGTACAAAAACGACAACTTTATTCACAGATTTTGGTGAAACATAATATTTTAAGGAGAAGATATTTTCTGGCTTTCCCTTTGATGTCCTCTGTCCTCTCTACCTTAATCCTCTATGATTTACGGAGTTCCCTAATGTACGATACTGGTTGCAAAAGTAGCTAACTGTTGCTAATCGTAGCTGCTATTAGCTAGACATGCAGCTAGTGGTACTATTGGCTGAGCCTGGTGCCAGTTCTGGTGCCCATTTCGGCCCCACTGCCCTCCAGCGTTCCCGGCCGGGATTAACTACAGCCAGTTAGGTTTAAGTTAGCATAAAGACCAAATCAGGGGGAAACAACTAGACTCATAATTAACAATTTATATCTTGATTGTTTAATCCATAAAAGTGAACATTCACCAAGTTGTTGTTATTGAGTCTCTGCTGGTTGCCTTGCAACCTTGTGCTATTTGACAAGACTCCAGGATGTCACTTCACCGAGCCAAGAAATTATCCCACATACACCCTCAAAACAAAAAGAAGATATAACAGGTTATTTTTTTACCTTTAGATGTTTTGGTAGGCCTTTGAACACACCTGTGTTTGCAACACAAGATGTGAATAGAAGATGTGTTTATCATAATGACAAATTGTAATAAAGTACTTTACAATAAAACAACAGGCAAACATAGATAGAAACAACGAAAAACCTGCTTAAACATTACGAGGCAAAAGGACAAGAAAATGTGAAAGTAGACAATATTCAAAAACATTAAGCGAAAGGCACATTATTATTAAAGTAGGCTGGTAAAAAGTGACTTGTAAGATGTGGTATAAAGTGAGACCCCTGCTTGAGGATTTCAGTGGCTAATAGAGGATTTTATTATTTGCAATTAAAAGCTTGACCATGCAGTGTGCCTAACAGCAAAATCTTAAAACTGATTTTAAAACTCACAGGGATGGAACAGCAGAAGAAAACTACAGAAGGGTATTGCATTCACTTGGAATTTTTTTTTCCTGCATTAATGACTTATTATCTCAGCGCTGCAGGGGGCTGAGAGCTGGATTTGGGGGCATTGAGAGTGTGGAGGTGTCTGACTCAGAGCAAAATTGTTTAAATTATAAAATATGGCATAATAATAAGCCTTAATAAAAAATTAATTCAGAAAAACAAAGCAGATTTTTTTTAAGTGAACGCAATACACTCCTGTACAAAACAACTTATCACTTCACTTAATTATTGCACATTGCTCTGCTATATAATTTCATTAATTGCACACTGCCATATTGTATTTAATCCAGTTTTGTGCTGCTAAAAATCTTAATCAGATACACAAA